AGCTACCTATCTCAATATCACCAGTCATAAGACTGGGTATAGTTAACATGCTAGCCTACAGCTGGGAAGAACTTGGCAGCTCTGGAATGGGTGGGTTTTTGAACACAAATTTAAATTGATAGCCAAGACAAAGCAAATAGCTTCAAAATTCCTAAAGTACACTACAGCAAAGTGCACAACAACTGAATTGAACTAAACTGAACATAAGGACCATCCACAGCCTTTTATTTTGCCCAGCTCTCAGCGATTTGCACTGGTCTTTCAGCTGCAAAAGATAAAGCAATTGGGATAAGTCAACACCAGGAGAACGTGTGTGACCATAAAAGCGATGATTCTGTTACCGCTGGAGACGTAGAAAGTCCTCCTTAAAATCAAAGGTGCCATTAAGGATCCCAAGAGTTCCCTTCTGTTGAAACTCGTTTCGATATTTATCTCTGAACTCTTTATGGACATCATCTATCAACTTATCCACATAGGTTAAAGTCAAGATTTTCTGAAATCCAACCTGCAGAAGAGAAGTCGTGTGGTTAAGAAAAAAAGGTACATAGTTAAGAGGGCTCATATTTAAGGATGTGCAAATTCTTCTGCCTTAATAGTCCACAATATGAATCAGTTGCCTCCATTCTATGTTTCTTTTCACACAAGCAGAAGGACACACACAAAAAAGACTAGATTTTTTAATGTGCTTTCTAAACAAATGAATGATTCAAATAGAAAAGAACATTTATAAGTCACTGCTATCATGACACATTAGGCTTACAGACTCCATAAAACATGAGATGCATTTGGTTCTGGCGTCACATCTTGTGGTTCCAGCCAACCATAGTTTATCAGACAAAGCAGGATTAAACATTCCATGATAATGGTGTGATTTGTGAACCTCAACACAATAGGATTACAACATTGGGAAGGAAGAATATGTTGCTGAACTGTGACTCATAATGTTCTTCATCACTAACTGCACTACAAGGAGTTAATAATTTAGTCACTTGTAAAAGGCCACATATTTTTCACCTGTTCTACAAAACTAGACAATAATGATGAAACTTTTTAATTTCAGTTTAATATTCATTTGCTTTTGAAGCCTCTTTCTTTCAGCACAAAACAGCATACGTACCACAAATACAAGCTCAAATTGATTGTCCAGTTTATATTTAAGGGTAAGGGCTTCATGGTTGAAAGAGTTGCTGCCACCTCGCTCCTGAAAAGAAGAAAATTAACATAATGAAACACAAGATCTACATGTCAAACGTGGCTTCTGCAATTATTCTTGGCAGTGGGGAGTAGAGTGCAGACCAACATGAGAGAGGCAATCTCCAATGGGCAAGTGGTTGAATAAGCACACTGATTCCCCTACCCACCCCCAAGACCTTAGTTTTCAAGAGATACAACCTGTCCCTGCTAAAAGTATACCACAATCCATTCAACAATATGAGACCCATAGGAAGGTTTTAAAGCTTTTGTAGTGCCAGTTGAGCAGCCTGCATGTGTCCCAGTGATTATTGATTTACTGGATTTATAAGGCTCCCCAACTCAATGTCTCTCTGGCCAACATATGATGGGAAAACAAACAATAAACTAAAAGACCCAATTTATGTAAAACCTAGACAATGTATAAATTTAAAATAGAAAATGGAGAGCAAAGACAATGCAAGTAACTAAAAGGGAATTCAGCTCAATGGGATCCTATCTGTGATCCTATGTGGAACCTGGGGAATCTAGTTGAAACCAATTTACGTTGTTCTCCGTAAATCTTATTAATTAGCCCAATTACAACTTGCATGGTAACTGATTTCTTAAGATTAATATTTTTATAAAATAAAAGTCAGATCAGTAGGATAAAGTACAGAATGTTCTCATTTGAGCATTTCTTGCTACACGGCTTCTAGTGCACCATGTGTGTCGAGAACCATTGAAAGTCATCTCACAGCTACTTCCAGACGATCCTTTTCTGCTGTGGGGCCTGTGCTGCACTGCTCCAGGCTCTCCACCTTGAGATCAGGGATCTGCTTAATGTATGAATGCCTGTTAAAAACTCACAAATATGAATGTTGGGAAAATGCCTCTTTTAGTGAATATAATCTCACATTGTGGTAATGTATTTTATTGTTACTTTTCTTGTCAATTCTTTAAGAAGACATAGCATAGGAAGTGGCACCTGAGTATGGTAAATATAAAAAAAACAAATTCAAGAAGGGTTGTTTCAGACTCTGGAAATCCAAAATCAATGAAAATCAATCTTATCAATCTTATCTTTAACTTATCTTGGACTAGTTTTAGATGCTTGAGTACCATATACCAATTCATTAATGTCATGCCTTCTGAACCAGCAAATGCAAAGTTGAAAAAGACCATCTGGAAGTTGCTAAGTAGCCCTTTTAAGGCCTGTTAGCAAGGGACCTGGGAAAGCAGATAGCTTCAATCCCGTGGAACACAGTACAATCTGACTCATCAGCATAGATTTTGAAATCATCAGGTAAAGGAAAGCTTTTAGATATAAATGGATAATAATGCCAAACAAGTCCTGAAGACTTCAGAACCATCTGGTACTCAAAGTTGTGATTGGGAGGGGGGAGAGGTTTTTGAGTTATCTTACTTAAAAAGCAGGCTTTGAGTACAGGAATATTTTGGAAGGAGGGAAGACCTATGGTCGAAAAGATCTAGCTCAAATAATCTGACTGAAATTTATACAGTATGGTGAAATTTATACAATACGGTTCATGAAACATGTTACATTGTGTGTTGTTTCAATTTGATTTAGGCGCTAAGAATAAATTGAAAACTGCTAGTTACCTATAGCTTAAAGTAACATGCCACTTGCACATTTAATCTCTCAGATACGGTAACAGCGAAGCTTGGAGTTAACTAGTATAATTATTAAAGGCCACAAAGAATGACAAAGAAACAGATGATAGTAATGCAGTTGAACACTTACCCACCCATCCCACCAAAACAAAATCCCTGCTAGTTTAGTCTGAGATGAAAAGAAAGAAAAGAACCATACTACAGCAAAGAAAACCATACTGAAAGAATCTAGTCCCTTTGTAACATTTGCTGTAGGCTCAATGACAGAGCAGTATGCTGGGTAACTTTGCCTGTCCCAAATAGACTCCTAGGACAAAGTGCCCCAATTACAAGATGCTGCAAGAACTACTCAAAATATTGATTGATAGGCATGCAAATTAAAGGGAAGATCCTGTTTATTCAAGCTGTGTTCTTAACTATTACTCAGGCACAATTATATTAAGCATACAGGGTGTTATTGTTGCAACAGCCGCACGGAAAATATATAACTATAATAAGTGTATAACTATGTATAACTTGTATTTATAAGTATACTGCTCAAAAAAATAAAGGGAACACAAGCAGAAGACATCCAAGATCTGAATGAATGAAATAGCCTTATTAAATACTTTGTTCTTTACATACAGTAGTTTATACACTGCTCAAACAACTAAAGGGAACACAAAACTACTGTGTGTAACGAACAAAGTATTTAATAAGGCTATTTCATTCATTCAGATCTCGGATGTCTTCTGCTTGTGTTCCCTTTATTTTTTTGAGCGGTTTATATAACTATGTATAACTTGTATTTATATATCATTATACAGAAGTCATGAATTAACCCTGCTATTTCAACTGCATCCTAGACGTAGCATCAAGCCGTTAAAGACTTCTAAAAAGGGCCAAACGGACTGAAAGGTTGATTGACGGGATGTCTGGGAAGGTGGAGGAGTGAAGATAATGGGGGAAGACAGAAGGTCCAAAAAAAGGGGGGGGGGGCTTCATGATCAAATAAGATGAAAGTTCCCTTTAATTGATCTCAGACCAGATCGACTCCTTGATTTCTCTCCCTCTTTGGCCGCTGCCCACTTCTACATTCTTCCTGTGATCTCCTGGTGGTCTCCCATCGCAGGATTAACAAGGGAAGCCTTCGTGAATTCCGCCCAGACCGTCTGGGGCTCCCCCATCCCCCCAACCCACGTCATCACCCCGCGTGGACGAAATATGCGACCCCCCGCGAAGACCTCAGGTGCAAAGGGGGCCGGAGTGGGGGTGGGGCTCTTACCTGGAGGAGGACAGAGCGGATCAGCGCGTTCACGGGTGCAGTGCAGGCCGCCGCGGGGCCGCGCACTCCTTGGAAGCACCAGAGGACGAGCCCCCCCTTGCTGAAGATGGTGAAAAAGTCGAGCATGGCGGGATCGGGGGCGCCGGGCCCTGACCCGGGGGGGGAGGGGGGAAACCGGGGGGCGACGGGACCGAAGACGCCGGGAAACCAGCCCGACTTCCTTACCCACGTCAGAATATTCTCTAGGTACTACTCACATCCGCCGGAAGCATCTCGGGCCCCTGAAGTCTGATTGGATCCCGTCCCCGGGAGAGGCGTGACTTGCGTAGCTCATAGAGATAGAAAGTAAAGAGCTGTTTCGGCCGTCAGACACGTCCGTCGCCTTTATCACTTATTCCTTTTTTCTTTGGAACGGCCTAGATTCATGAGGGGTGAGTGAAAATCCTGAGTTTTGTCATTCGAAACACAGCATGCTTACTCCAGGAAGGAAACATGCTCAAAATAGGCCGGCCTTCCCTCTTGAATTTATAGAGATAGAAATAGAGAGAGAAGAAAAGGATTGATAGGTTGGAAAAGTAAACGGGGGGAGGGGGAGGGGTTGGACACGACAGCCTTAAAGTGGCCTCCGCGATAGAGGAAGAGGCGGAGCTAATAGTGAGTTGGAGGAGGGAAAAGACGTTCGAATTGGCCTACTCTCCCGAAGGCCGCGCGTGACGTAGAGAGTGGGGCGGGGCTTGGGGAGTTCCCTGGACACGTCAGCGAGGAGCGGCGTGGAATGGATCTCTCGGGGGGGGGGGGGGGTGTGGGGGGGGCGCCGCTTTGGGCCCCCGGGGGGGGGATGAAGGGGGGGCGGTGATTTTAAACGTGATTTTTTTTGCTCTGACGTCAGAGAGGCGCCTGTCAAGTCAAGCCGAGCCTCGGGGGGGGGGCGAAGTGGGCGGACACGGGCACCGCCATGCTCGGCCGAGGGAGCCCGCTGGCCGGTTTGCGACCCTTGCTGACGGCGCGACGGCGGCTCTTCGCCAACCCGGAGGAGCCCCGGAGGCCGCTTCGGCTCAGCAGCGTCCGCGGCGGCGGGGATTTCTTCCGCGGTGAGCAAGGCGGCGGAGGAAAAGACTTCTCTCCGCCTGCAGCCTGTCCTACCTGTCCGGGTTGTTGTGAGGACAAGAGCGGGAGATGGGGAGGCTGAGAAGAAAACCGTGGAATTGAAACCTTGAATAGCGTTTTGCCTGGTGGGGTCACCCCAGCCTGGGGGATCCTTGGTGGGGCAGCTGAGCCCCCAAACTGGGCTCTGCAGGGCTGCCCAGCCAGCACTTCTCTGGGGACGGGGATGCTCTCCGGGTTCCCCCCCTTAAAGAAGCTCATCTTCGGTTTTCCTATTTAGAAATCCCCCCCCCCAGGTGTTTGGAATCAGCAGATCTAACGTGACTTATTGAGCCTTGGTGGCTCAGCAGACTAAAGTGCTGTTAAGTAGCACCAGCTGCCTGCAATTACTGCCAGTTCAAATCTCACCAGGCTCAAGGTTGACTCAGCCTTCCATCCTTTCGAGGTAGATAAAATGAGGACCTGGTTTGTGGGGGCAATAAGCTGACTTTGTATAAAAAAGAACACCCCTTGTGGGGGAGCGAAAGCCCTACTAAGCAGATATATACAAAAGTATGAAGGCTATTGCTTAACGCATTGTAAGCCGCCCTGAGTCTCTGGAAAAGGGCGGCATATAAATCGAACCAATAAATAAATAATAAATAAACTGATTTATTGATTTTTTTTTTCTTTTAACAACCCTGTACAGGTAGTCCTCGAGTTACAACAGTTTAACAGATTAAGAGAGTTGGAAGGGACCTTTGCAGGTCATCTAGTCCAACCCCCTACCCAAGAAGGAGACCCTACATCTGCCTCTACTTAGGATCGAACTCACAACCTCCTGATTGTGAGGCAAGAGCTCCACCTTTAGGCCACAGCAGCTGGGCTATTTAGTGACCATTTGAAGTTACAGCATCAGTGAAAAAAAAGGGACTTACGACCGTTTTTCACGCGACCGTTGCAGCATCGCATGGTTTACGTTTGGATGCTTGACAACTGACTCACATTTATGACGGTTGCAGTGTCCTGGGGTCATGTGATCACTTTTTGTGACCTTCTGAGAAACAAAGTCAATGAGGAAACCAAATTCGCTTAACAAACTGTGTTACTAATTTAACAGCTGCAATGATTCACTTAAATGTGGCAAATAAAGTCGTAAAATAGGGCAAAACTCACTTAACAAATTTCTCACTTAACATAAATTTTAATTGTGTCGTAAATTGAGGACTACCTGTAATCCCTTTTATTGAAGTGGGGCAACTGAATGGAACCGAACATTTACTGTCCGGATGCCCTTCCTGATGCCTATACAGAGTTCACAGCAGATATTTTCTTTTTGTCGCTGCCTGGAATTGAACTCTCAGCCTCCTGATTGTCAGGCGAGCGTCTTCATCTCTAGGCCACCATGTCGCTGTGACAGATTTATTATGTGCTGTCCAATTAGTGAGCCTCAAATTTGTGAACCTGAGGTTATATAAGAATTTATAAGAGCATAAAGACATGAATGGCTGTTAGAATGCACAAAACACTGTATAACATGGCTGTCCTGGTTTAATTTTCACTCTTTTTCAGAATTTAAGAAGTTGACCAATTTCCAGAACTTTGATCCCTTCTTTCCAACAAGAGATCTCCCTCCTGAGCATTCCGATGTGGTGATCATTGGCGGTGGGATAATAGGCTGGTCCATTGCCTACTGGCTGAAAGTCAAAGAAACACGCAGAAATGCCATTCGAGTGTTGGTAATTGAGAGAGACAATACTGTGAGTTTTTATCTCAGTTCCTTTTAAACAAAAAGAAGCATCAGATTGAGGGTTATCTAACGATGAAGTGCTGTCTTCATTTCCCTTCCCTGGATATTCAGGTTTATTCCTAAAGGTTTACTGTTGGAGAGTAATTAGATCAGCAGAACTTTAATGGCTGTTGAAAAAGTCCCTGTAGCCAGGGTCAGCCAGCCTGGCCACTTGAAGAAATTCTGGGAGTTATAGTTTAACTAAATCTAGAGCAGGTTTTGCACTTTGGCTGTGAGTTCCAGAGTGCATTTGTGAGACTCTGGCATCAAGGTTTAGTTTAACCTAGTCGGTCATCTTGGATCGATATTATTTCTCAGCTTGTTATCTCAGTGTTGTTGAATATACAGTTGGGAGAGACTTTATCAGGAAAAGATAGGATAATAATGTAATATTTGAAGAGCCTTGGTGGCGCAGCAGATTAAAGTGCTGTTAAGTAACACCAGCTGCCTGCAATTACTGCATGTTCAAATCTCACCAGGCTCAAGGTTGACTCAGCCTTCCATCCTTTTGAGGTAGGTAAAATGAGGACCCGGATTGTGGGGGCAATAAACTGAATTTGTATAAAAAAGAACACCATGGGGGCGGGGGGGCGAAAGCCCTACTAAGCAGGTATATACAAAAGTATGAAGGCTATTGCTTAACGCATTGTAAGCCGCCCTGAGTCTCCAGAAAAGGGCGGTATATAAATTGAACCAATAAATAAATAAAATAAATACAGTAAATAAGGGGTAAAGTGCCACTTGATTAATTGGAATAAATAATACATTAAATTGCAAAATAGCGATATGTGCAAATTCAGTATTTTGTCCTACAATTTTATTCCTCGTCTTTTTGCTACTATTTGTCTGACTGAAAAACTTCAGGGGAGGGAAGGTTTAAATATAGCTAAGTAACTCCTTGCTACTTCTCTGGTTTCCCTGCAGTATTCCAAAGCATCCACAGTTCTTTCTGCCGGAGGGATACGGCAGCAGTTTTCAGTGGAAGAAAATATCTGGATGAGCTCTTTCTCAGCAAACTTCTTGCGTTTAATCAATGTATGTTATGCACTCTGAGTTTTTGGTTCTGTGGCTAACATTTGCTTCTCCTCCTCCCTGCCTTCCCACCTCCTCTCCCCATTGCATCCTTTGGTGGAGTACGCAGGTAATCTTAAAAGAGAAAAATGAGTGAAGGAATTAGGCAGTTCCTTGGATATCAAGAACAATTTGGCTGTTTAAATGTTTAATGTTTAAAGATAAATCAGCTAAATGTTGGAAATGTCACCAGTTACCAGGTTCTTATTGGTGGACATGTCCAGAAACTAAAAATTATTGGAATAAAATTAAAATATGGTTGGAAGAAATGATACAACAACATATTGATTTAAAACCAGAATTGTTCCTATTGGGTATCCTGCCAGAAAAAATTAGCAAAGAAAATATTTTTTTATTATTATTTTTTTTAATTTGATTTATATGCCGCCCTTCTCCGAAGACTCAGGGCGGCTTACAATGTGCTCAGCAATTTGATTATACATGTAATAACAGCTGCAAGGATTGTTTATGCACAACATTGGAAAGCAGAGAAAATACCTTTGGAAGGAGAAGTAATTAATTTTTTTTAGATTGTGCAGAAATGGATGGATTGACTTTGATGATTAAAGAAAGGAGATTCAGAATACTTTAAGATATGGAATCAATTCTACTATTGGTTAGAAAAGAGATACAAATAAGTAAATTAATAGTTATGTATAAAAATGCTATAATCAGAATATTTTGTTAGTGATGAATTGTAATTGATTCGATGAGAACGGAGCAGAAGAAACAACAAAAAGAAAAACAATTGGAAACAACACCGAGATGTCACATGGAAGGAATGACAGATGTATTAAATGTTTGTATAAAAAATAAAAAACTTTTTTTTTAAAAAAAGAACAATTTGGCTGAATCTCTCAGGAAGAAGTAATAAATATTGCTTCTTGATAGATATATTGCTAAGAGATAAGGCTTGGTTAGATATTATATGAATCCATTATACCTGCAAGCATTTCCATCAAGTGTTTATTAGTTATATTCACTGTTATCAAATGCATGATGTGAACTTGTGAAATAGCCTTAGTAAATCCCTGATTTCTCTCTACCTCATGGGGAGCTCATCCTGGGGTCTTTTGTATGAATTTGTAGGATTTTATCAATCATCGTGAAATAATCTCGATTTCTCCAGAATCTATAACCATGATGGTGAACCCGTGCCAAAGGTGGCACACAGGGCCCTCTCTGCTGGCATATGTGCTATCACCCCAGGTCAGATCTCCATGGCGTTTCTTCCGTGAGCTTCTGTTTCCCTGCAAACAATGAAACAGAAGCTCATGAAAGAAAAAGATCTTACCTCACACCGCACTGCCAATGTTGGGATGCCCTGCCTCCCGCCACCCAGATGGTCTTTGCTGCACATGCACACATGTCCATGCATTCGCACACACATTTGCACACACACCTTTCAGTTTGGGCATGCGCACACGCACAATTTGGGCACTCGGTGTCTAAAAGGTTCGCCATCACTGATCTATAAGCTATATTTCTCTTTATTTTTAAAAAAGTGTTTAAAACAAAGGTTTCAAAAGACATAAAGCAGTAAGTGGAAATAATTACTGAAGTTACATAATTAATGCTTAAAATAACCAGAAAATGCAAACCATACAATGGATGTTGCATTGTCTTTTTGATACGAAAAAGAAGTATAAATCTTTTGAGTTTAGTGCCCCAAAAACCTAATATTTATAAATACTTTAAAAAAAAAAAACCAAAGTAAAGAAACCTATGAAAAGTAGTATAGATAAGTAGGTAATTTCTGATTTCCCCCCATTTTGAGCTCCAAGCAAAATTTAGTTTTTAAAGATAAACTGTTATTTGCCTTGTGTGATATATAGGTGCATGAAAAGGCACACTTTTATTAATTTTCATTTTATCCCTTTGTTCTTTTCAGGATCATCTTGGTGTTGTTGGAGAACCACCCATTGATATTCAATTTAATCATTCAGGTTATCTCTTTCTTGCTTTGGAGAATGAAGCTGCAATTTTGGAGGAGAATGTAAACCTTCAAAGGTTGGGATCTTTTGAGTTTCTGATTGAATGGAGAAAGGTGCTAAAACAGGGCATTAATAATTTCTTCTTTTTACCACATTTTGCTCTACAGGCACAGTGGTTGTCTCTTTAGATTACTCAGATTACATTTTTTTATATTAATAACAAATTTCTATTTATTTGCTGTAATCCAAGAAAAGTGGTATTTGAAACAATAATAAAAAGGGGAAAAAAAGTAATATAACAAAGAAATTATGTCTAGAACCTTGTACACACACACATATATATATACCCCCAAAATAACCGTTGATTAAGGATGATGATACTTTAGTTTCAAATTCTGTGTAGTGACTTGATTCATGTATGAAAGGCCCTAAAGCATGGGTGAAATGCTCCCGGTTCGGACTGGATCGCACGATCCGGTAGCGATGGCGACGGGTGCTTCGAGAACCGGTAGCAAAAATCCCTGCCCCCCACCCCATGGCCAGCTGAGCCACGTGATCATCAGAGGGTTTTTTTTTACTTTTAAAAGCATTTTTTTACAACCTTTTCCAACGAAAAAATGCTTTTAAAAGTAAAAAAAAAAAGCCTCTGATGATCGCGCAGCTCAGCTGGGATTGTCAGAGGCTTTTCAAAGCATTTTTTTCTGCAACCTCTTGGCCGAAAAGGTGGTAAAAAAAATGCTTTGAAAAGTCTCTGACGATCCTAGCTGAGTTGTCTGATCGGCAGAGGCTTTTCAAAGCATTAGAAAAAATGCTTTGAAAAGTTCAAAAAAAAAAAAAAATAGTTGGCCATTCCCACCCAGTCACATTACCACCCTCCACCAAGCCACGCCCACAGAACCGGTAGTAACAAATTTTACATTTCACCCCTGCCCTAAAGTAGCTTGTTTCGATTAATGAGTGAAGTGATGGTTAGGCAAACCATAATTTGTCCTCACCATTTATTGTTTCTCATATGCATTTTGAACAAATTCTAAAGGAAAATTTTGGTCTTAAACTCTTCACAAGTAACATCTTTTTCAACCAAACTCATCTTTCTCCCTGGGGAGAAAATTATTAGGAATGCAGTAGTGGGATATCAGGCCTCATAAAATAACGAAGCAGGAAACCAGCATCTTGTGGGAAAGAAGTGGCATGAGGAGAGCCAAATGAGTTCCTAGCAGGGGTGAAATGCTCCCTGTTTGAATCGGTAGCAAAAATCCCTGCCCCCTCCCCCCATGCCCATCTGAGCTGCGTGATCTTCAGAGGCTTTTTAAAAAACTTTTAAAAGCATTTTTTCTACAACCTCTTCAGCCGAAAAAATGCTCTTCGCCGAAGAGGTTGTAGAAAAAAATGCTTTTAAAAGCCTCTGATGATCTCAGCTGAGTTGCCTGATCATCAGAGGCTTTTAAAAGCATTTTTTTCTGCAACCTCTTAAGATTGTAGAAAGAATGCTTTTAAAAGTAAAAAAAAAAAAAAACTGGCCACGCTCACCCAGTCACATTGCACCCCCCAAGTCACGCCCACAGAACTGGTACTAACAAATTTTACATTTCATCACTGCCCCAGTCCATGGACTGGCACGGGTGCAGCATGCCAGAAACCAGTCTGCAGGAAAACCTCTCTCTACGGAACCGGTCCCAGGTGCCCAAAAGGTTGGCAGCTGCTCTTGTTAGTCCACCATGATTTAATGAGATTGCATGGCTGGCTTCATCAGTAGAATTGATGAAGCTTTTATCTGCCAAATTGTCCATTTTGGAGAAATATCTTTTCCGCCTTGTAGATTTTCAGTAGAAGGTCCGATTTGGGCCTTTTTTTAAATTGATCTCATTGATTGAAAATTAATATTTTTAATAGTATGAGTTGCTAAAGGTTGTAATGAAAGTTATCTGATTTTTATTTTATCCTTTATTAGGAAGGAAGGTGTAGCTGTCTCTCTGCTTTCACCAGCACAACTGAAAAAGAAATTTCCATGGTTGAACACTGATGGCGTAGCTCTGGCTTCTCATGGTACCAATTGCTAATTCTGTTAATCCTAAAGCAAAATGGCAGCATCACTATTTTGACTACACATTTGCAGGCCAAAGACAAGATTCCTTTTTTGTAGGCTAAAATCACTTGGGATCCAAAACTGGAAAGCCAGTTTTGTTTTCCTACTTGCAGTCTGCCTGCAGATAGTCAGCTGGTTTTTCAGTTCCCAGTTCAACTGAAGCAATTACCATTCTGAGGCTTTGTGACTTTCACTCTTCCCAAATCCTTACTAGTTAATAGAGCAAATTCTGCTTTACACAAACTTTTCTGTGTTGAATTTGCAACTGGGATGTGTTCTTTGTGGGATGAAAGTCTTGGTATTACGTATTGCGCCCAGGCCTCTGGTGTCACCCTGTCTGCTAATTATTTCTCTTAAAACTACCTAGCCAAGGCTGCATAGTCCAATTATTCATTAATTCACCCATATTTCAATCCGTGATCAAGCACGAGCATTCAGCACCTGCAGATAAGAACTTTGGGAGCAAGGAGTTTTACTAAATTTATCAATGAGTCATCAAAGGACTTTGAATTTGTTTTTTATGTCACTCATCTAGCAAAAAAAGATCAAAACTTCTACTTCTCTAAAATGATGCATGACCAAATTAATATTTGGTACCTCCTTATAACCCATAGGGATGCAGCGGCTCAGTGGCTAAGACGTTAAGCTTGTCGATAGAAAGGTTGGCAGTTCAGCGGTTCGAATCCCTAGCGCCGTGTAACAGGGTGAGCTCCCGTTACTTGTCCCAGCTTCTGCCAACCTAGCAGTTCGAAAACACATAAAAAATGCAAGTAGAAAAATAGGGACCACCTTTGGTGGGAAGGTAATGGTGTTCCGTGCGCCTTTGGTGTTTAGTCATGCCAGCCACATGACCACGGAGACGTCTTCAGACAGCGCTGGCTCTTCGGCTTTGAAACGGAGATGAGCACCACCCCTAGAGTCAGGAACGACTAGCACATATGTGCAAGGGGAACCTTTACCTTTAATAACCCATAGAATTATCTCAAATGTGGTTATTGAGCAAAGCACAATGGGATGGATTCATGCACTGACTAAGCCATGAATTACACATTTCAGGGTTTGTGGTCAGTCTAATTCCCAACCAGTTATATTATGTTGCTGCAGCTTAGAATTCTTGTGTAGTTGGCCTTTGCTGTTATGTTTAAATGCCAAAGCTTTTAATTCCTAGTATGTTTCTTGTATCCTCTTCTGGCTTTTCCTTCAGGCTTAGAAAATGAGGGCTGGTTTGATCCCTGGACTCTTCTCAATGCTTTCAAGAGAAAAGCTGTCTCTCTGGGCACGCTCCAGTATAACGGAGAAGTGACATGTAAGCATTTTTCTTTGTGCTTCCTGCTGTAGCCAGTATGTAGCTTTATTGCCAATGGAAATATTTTCTAAGGTACAATACCTGGAACCGAATTGGTGACAGTCTAATGGGTTGAATCAAAACAGTGTTCTCTATACTTGGAGTCAGTTGGAAACTAATCAAAGAGAGAAGCAACCTGGAATGAAGGAGAAGCTTCCTGACAGAATAATTAATCAGTGGAACAACTTGCCTCCAGAAATCATAGGTGCTCCATCACTGGAGGTTTTTAAAAGGAGACTAGACAGTCACTTATCTGAAATAATATAGATTCTCCTACTTGAACAGGGGGCTGGACTAGAAGACCTCCAAGGCCCCTTCCAGATTCTATTCTATTCTATTCTATTCTATTCTATTCTTATTCTATATTCTATATTCTATATTCTATATTCTATATTCTATATTCTTTTTTAAAAAAAGTTTTTATTTTTGTTTCTCATAAACATATTTACACGTACAGTCATTTATCCACCATTTTTCATTCATCTTATCTTTTAATTTTGATTTATAATTTTTAATTGTTTGGGGTTGCTCTTTTACCATTTACCCTTCTTTATTTTGCCACAACCTTTCTTCTTCTCCTCCCCTTCTCTTCCTTCCTCTGTCACTTCCTACTTTCTTCGTTCTTCCTCTCCTTCTCTTTCCTATTTCCCCTTCCCTTCCCACACTCCTCTCTTCTTCCCCCCTTCTAACCTTCTCTCCTACTCCTCTTTCCCCTCTCTTTTCTTCCTCTCCTTTTCCCTTTCTTCTCTCTCTCTCCTCTCTTCTCCCTCTCTCTTATTGTTTCCCTTTTCAGTTCAATCTAGAATGGTATTCTGCCTCTGAAACTTCTGAAACTCTGTTTCAGACAAAACTTTTTTTTCTGCCTCTGAAAGCTTCCAAAACAGAGCTTTGGATGCTTTTTTTCTGAAGCTCTGTTTGGAGGCTTTTTTTCTGAAGCTTCGTTTCTGAGGCTTTTTTCAGCCTCTGAAACCTCCGTTTGAGAGGCTGGGCGGGGCTACATTCGGAGTATAAGACCTACCCAGATTTTCACCCCCTTTTTTTGGGGAAAAAGGTGCGTCTTATAGTCCGAAAAATACGGTAGTATGCAAAAAAAGATAATTAAGATTTCCTAAGGCACTTTGCCAAATTTCAGCCATTTAGTTAGGAAGGAGAGAAACTTCAAAATATCCTAAGACCCACATTTAGTGTTGGCACTATTATAATTTGCCCTAACCTCCACCCCCACCCCATTCTAAAAACTTTATGTAGGCATTTCAGTAGCCTTGATTGATTGATTGATTTGGAGAAAAAATATTATTTTAAATAACATTTGTAAGAGGAACATTTTACGATTAGGGTTCTGTTCTCACTATAAAACACGGTAATCTGATAGAATGGGTTATATGTTTTAAATAATCATATTGTAAATAGCAAGGAAGTTTTTAAAAAATCCTTATATTTCAGGAATGAATCAACGGCAGTTGCTTTACTGTCTCCTCCATCTCTTTCCCCTCTCCTACAGCTTTCAACTTGGCGTTTTATGAAATGAAGAGTAACGATCAGGATTGTATAGTCTCGCGTATTCAGTCTGTAAATGTGAGTCATTATTTTAGGGCTCGGTTATGCCTCTCATGAATGACATAAAGTCATATATTTTCTGCCTACGAGTGGTGTGGTGGCCTAGAGGTAGAGCTCTCGCCTCACAATCAGGAGGCTGTGAGTTCGATCCCAGGTATAGATAGATGTTTCTCTCTTTGGGCACACTGAGAATATATCTGCTGAATAAAACTCCGCATTGGCGACAGGAAGGGCATCTGGCCAGTAAAACACTCAGCTCCATTCATTTGCCCAGGCTCCACCCAGCAAGGGATTATGGGGTCGTTCAAAGACGATGATATATTTTCTGCCTACCTAACGTACTTTTGCTTTCCTCTTGGATGCTTTCTTCATCGATGGCTCAAGGGAACAAGACGCAAAGCATTTTAAAAGGCAAGACAATAATGCCTGCTGAACACTGTAATAAATCAGTGCAGGTAGTCCTTGATCTATAACCATTCGTTTAGTGACTGTTTGAAGTTATAATGGCACTGAATAAAAGTGATGTATAATGGTCACTTATAACCATTGCAGCATCCCCAGGGTCACATGATCAAAATTTGGATGCTTGGCAAATGGTTCATATTTATGACGGTTGCAATGTCCCGGAGTCATGTGATTCCCCCTTTTGCGACTTTCTGACAAACATAGTCAATGGGGAAGTCAGATTCACCGAACAACTGGGTTACTAACTTAATAGCTGCAGTGATTCACTTAGCAACTGTGGCAAGAAAGGTTGTAAAATGGGGCAAAATTCACTCTGTTGCTTGGCAACAGTAATTTTGGGTTCAATTGTGTTTGCAAATTGAGGACTACCTGTAGTCTGTTTATTGCTGCTGATAAAATTATAATTAAGGCCCACTGATGCAGCACCATTATTAGTTCAATTTGTATCATCATCGATCTATGGAAATTGAAAGGCCACCCCACTCATAATATATACATTGGGCAACTTACATTATTAAACCAGTGCATATAGGCAGTCTTCAATTTACGACCGCAACTGAGCCCAGAATTTCTGTTGCTAAGTGAAACATCTGTTAAGTGAGTTTTGTCCCATTGTACAACCTTTCTTGCCACAGTTAAGTGAATCACTGCAGTTGATAAGTTAGTAAGCCGGTTAAGCGAATCTGGCTTCCCCATTGATTTTGCACATCGGAAGTTCGCAAAAGGGATGACCTTGGGACACAGCAACGGTCATAAATGTGAACCACTTGCCAAGCATCTGAATTTTGATCACGTGATCATGGGGATGCTGCAAAGGTCATAACTGAAAAATGTTCATAAGACACATTTTCCAGCGCCGTTGTAACTTTGAGCCATCACTAAATGAACTGTTGTAAGTCAAGGACTACCTGTATATGTTTCTGTGTGTATGTATATGTGTATGTACAGTAGATAAGACGGCTAAAGCTACAGCTATCCACAGATGAGGCTACAATTGCAAACACCCAGTCTCAACTCTTGAAACGACTCTAGCTGAAGCCATATTTTTCTTGCTTGGTTTCTTAGTTGTCATACTTATGGGTGGGGGAATGGTACATGTTCTCCATGCACACTCCATTGATTCCCCTAAACTCTATGCATAATCTCATCGTCCCATCCTTCTTCTCCTTAAACAGGACTGGGGCCGCTACTCGGGATTTAGCCGGCTGGATGAAGCCCCTAGCTAGATTCTTGTCAATGTACTTCCTCAGTTCCTTCGTCTCCTTGGGCGTCATGGAGTACATCTTGGGCTTGGGTAGTTTTGTCCCTGGAAGGATCTCAATCATGCAGTTCGTGGGACTGTGAGGGGGTCAGCATGCCCTAGCAATGGCAGGAGGGAGTGCCGAGAAGTTCATCATCTGCTTGGTTGGCTAACATGACCTGTGACACAAGGGAGGGACAGCATCTATTCTTTAATTATGCCCAATGATTGGGGGAGGACCTAGGACAGTGATGGCTAACTTTTTTGCCATCGCATGCCAGGAGCGGGAGGGGAGGGGGGGGTCGCACACACGCATGCCCACACCCATTCTATGTGCCTACCCCCGTGCATGCATGCGTGCACTCCCCCACTCCACCCCCACTCCTGGCACGTGATGCCACAGTGGGCTCCAGAGCCTTTCTAGGAGCTTGGGGAAGGTGAAAACAGCCTTCCCCACTCAGAGGCCCTCTGGAGGCTGGAAATGGCCTGTTTGCCAACTTCCGGTGGGACCGGAAGGCCTGTTTCTTTTCTTTTCCTCAGGCTCCAGAGCCTTTCTAGGAGCTTGGGGAGGGCGAAAATGGCCTCCCCCCCCCCCCCCCCGAGGCCCTTTGGAGGCAGGAAACAGCCTGTTTCCCTACTTCCAGTGGGCCCAGATCAGGGGTGAAATGCTCCCAGTTCGGACCGGATCACCCGATCCGGTAGCGATGGCAGCGGGTGGTTCGGAGAACCGGTGGCAAAAATCCCTGCACTTCCCCCCCCCCATGCCCAGCTGAGCCGCGAGATCTTCAGAGGCTCTTTTGTTGTCCTTAACCTTCTAGGTCCAGTTGCCCGAAAGTTTTGAACGTGCCAAGGTAGACTGTTGTATGGTGGTAAATGCGGCAGGAGCCTGGTCAGGCAGAGTGGCCGAGATGGCTGGCATTGGGGCTCCGTCCGAAAACATCCTAGCAGGGATCAAGTTTCCAGTAGAACCCAAGAAAAGGTGAGGTCAAGTTCCATTACTGGTACAACATGTATTTTTTTGACCCAAAGAGAAAACTTGGGTTTATTATATTGTTTGAACTGAGCTGTTGAGGTTTCTAAATTGAGGTTTCTGGCATAGTTTATTGTGGGACTCCAGACATCCAATTAAGGTGGCATGCATTTGGCAAGGTGTGGAGATCCGTATGTTTCCAATTGGAGTTTAAGGATTGCAGTTTCTACTACATTTCTCAGCTGCTGCTCAGGATACGTTTTAATTTCCTCCTCTTTTAGCTAAATAGCTTATCATCTTTGGACTGCACTCCCCTAAATATGCTGTGGATCGTGCCTAAAATAGTTGACTTGCAGACAACTCATTTTAGAGTATCTACTGGTCTTTTCATGCCTCTCTTTTGCCAAGTTTAATCCTTGGCCTTTGAAATTGAAAAGATCTAAGGATGCAATGCCAGGAAAGTAGCCTTTGAGAGAAGAGCGGACAGAATAAACCGTACCAGAATAGACAAACGCAAAACTGTTGGTTCAAGACAAGTTCATATATTACAACAAGTCAAATGATACTCAAGTGTTTCCCTTTGCATGTGAAACTAACATGGTACGAAGTCTTGTGTCTTGCGGTATTGTTATTTCTTTTGCATCTGTTCGCTTCAATTCTTGCTCTCCTTCCAACCCACAAGCAAATATGTTGATATGAAATATCGCAAAAGCATCTCTTTATCCCTTCACTCCTAGGTATGTCTATGTCTGGCACTGCCCTGAGGGACCCGGTTTGGAGTGCCCATTCCTCATTGACACCACTGGAGCGTATTTCCGAAGAGAAGGTTTAGGTGGCAACTATCTTGGAGGCTTAAGCCCAACAGAAGTGAGTTTATCAGGGCTTTGGGACTGTTTTCTACCAGGTTTGTAAAGATTCTTTAGGGTCAAAGTGACAGGTGTATTTGGTCTGGTTCTAGTAAGAATCAAGACTTTTCTAAAGCCCTTCGTCTTCTTAAGTGCTCAGATTTCTACCCAGTGTCCCAATTTTATAATAAATAGTTTCACAATAATAGCAATTCTAACAGTAGTTATCAAGCGAATGCCAGAAAACCATGCAGGAACTATTGTGTTTCAGCAGGAATTTAAATCTAAGCTCTGAATTTCACCTCAAAGTGTAAATACCATTCTTGAGCAACCTGGATTTTAGTTTCAATTTTCAGTATACTCAAAAGCCATTGAAACTTCATGCTGCTGTTTCAGGAGTCACTATTGTTTCTTAGCAATAGCAATAGCAATAGCACTTATTACCACTTTACAGCCCTCTCTAAGCGGTTTACAGAGTCAGCCTATTGCCCCTAACAGTCTTGCTCCTCATTTTATCAACCTCAGAAGGATGGAAGGCTGAGTCAACCTTGAGCCGGCCAGAATTGAACTGCCGAATTGTAGGCAGCCAGCAGTCAGCAGAAATAGCCTGCAGTACTGCATTCTAACCACTGCACCACCGTGGCTCCTTAAGTTCTTAAGTTCATTTTTATCCTTTTGGGATGACCTATCTTAAAAGGATTGCTTTTCCAGGAGAAATTCAAGATTCATGTACTCCTCGACTTATAACCCCTTGTTTAGTGACTGTTCAAAATTACGGTAGTGCTGGAAAAAAATAACTTACGGCCATCCCTGTAGTCATGTGAAGAAAATTCAGTTGGCAACTGGCATATATATACATGATGGTTGCAGCATCTTGGAGTCCTTTCCAGCTGGCTTCCAGCAAGCAAAATCATAGGGAGAGCCAGATTCGCTTAACAACTGCAGCAAAAAAGGTTGTAAAATTAGGTGAGACTTACTTAACGGCCACCTCACTTAGTGACAGAAGTTCCACTCCCAATTGCGGTCATAAATCGAGGACTACTGTACAAATCAGATTGAATACACTTAATCTTTGTGGGTATCCATCTTGTTGATACAGTTGTCATGTCTGCATTTACTTTTCAGAAAGAAGAGCCAGATATCGAAAATTTGGAAGTAGACCCTGAGTTCTTCCAGGAAAAAGTCTGGCCTAAGATTGCCTACCGAGTGCCGCCCTTTGAATCTTTGAAGGTAAGATATTGATTTAAGTAATGAAAAAAGAAATCCTGAAAAGTTAACAACTGCATTTTAAATTTTCTTACAACAGTTAACCGAAGCACACAGTAACAGACATGATAAAAAATCCTTTGCTGCCATTTGTCAGAAATTGTGTAGGATCTCCTGCTGGAGTAGGGGGTTGGACTAGATGACCTATAAGGTCCCTTCCAACTCTGTTAATCTGTTTGACATTTTGAGCTACAACACTTTGTTTAGGTTTGATATAGTTGACTATAGAATTGTTTACCATTGTTGTCGGGACTGCATATAAGATTACTTGGTAATATATCTTCTAGATTACGCAGCACAGCTGAAGGCTTATCCGCTGGTTATATCAATTTAAAGACAAGATTCAAGAATCTGAATCCAGTGGTTCTTACAGGATCATCCAGACATCTCATCCCTTGGGTTTCAGTGTTTGGAAACAGATCCTTCTTTGTGTTATTTTACTCTTCCATTTGTGTCTCCTATTTAAGCATGTTTTCAGTTGGGAGCAGCAAGTTAGGATTGGACTCCTAACCTAAGTATCGTATTTTTCGGAGTATAAGACTCACCTTTTTCCCCCTAAAAAGAGGGTAAAAATCTGGGTGCGTCTTATACTCTGAATGTAGCCCCGCCCGGCTTCTCAAATGGAGGTTTCAGAGGCTGAAAAAAGCATTAGAAATGAATCTTCAGAAAAGAAGCCCCCAAACAGAGCTTCAGAAAAGAAGCCCCCAAACAGAGCTTCAGAGGCTTTTTTTCTGAAGCTCTGTTTCGGAGGCTTTCAGAGGCAGGAATTTTTTTTTTTTCTGAAACAGAGTTTCAGAAGTTTCAGAGGCTGAAAAAAAAAGCAAGACACGGAACACCCAACCAACGAACCTGTTGCTACAGTTCACCTCTGGGAACAGCTGATTGGGAGTATTCCGGGAAGCGATCCACCTGCCAATCAGCTTTTTTCTTATTTGCCTCCCCAAAAACTAAGGTGCATCTTATACTCTGGTGCGTTTTATACTCTGAAAAATATGGTATTTTGTTGACATGACTTGGATTAGCTCAGCCAACCAATTGCTTAAGAAACCAGCTCTCTGTGGGTTTTTGGGGTACGTGTGGGGGTGGGAGCATGGCTTTTATATTGTTTACCCTTCAGACTTGTCTCTCAATCCATTGTACAGTACATCAGGCCCAGGACTAACAGGAAATTGATCTCTCTTTCTGGCAGATAAAAAGTTCCTGGGCCGGTTACTATGACTACAATACGTTTGATCAGAACCCTGTGATTGGCAGGCACCCACAAGTGTCAAACCTCTTCTTTGCGACAGGCTTCAGTGGGCATGGGTTACAGCACGCCCCAGCGGTGGGACAAGCTGTAGCCGAGCTCATTCTCGACAATAAATATAAGTCCATCAACCTTGAGAGATTCTCCTTCGACAGGCTTATCAAAGAAGAGAAGCTTCTTGAGAGAAATATAGTCTAAAGCCACCCAAGCTGGGATTCATTTGAAGAGTGAGTTTTTAGTCGTTTATTCTCCCTCTACTTTTCATCCTCAGGCCTAGTCATTACATCAGAGGCCTTCAAACTTGGCCGCTTTAAGACTTGTGGACTTCAACTCCCAGAATTCTCCAACCAGCATAGTTGGCTGGAGAATTCTGGGAGTTGAAGTCCACAAGTCTTAAAGGGGCCAAGTTTGAAGGCCTCTGCATTACATGCTCAGGCGGCAGCACAAGGAAATTGCTCTGACTATGATACGGCACAGCTGCGGCTCATTTGAATAGGTCCATTTTGTGCAGAATAACTCAAAGAGTAACTGAAGAGTTGTGTCTGATGCTGCTGTGATCAAAGCTCGTGGAACCGGAAACTGAAGAGGAGACTCATGGAGAAGAGGGTTTTCCCCTCCCCAGCTATACTTTTTCTGCTCCCCTTTGTCATTTCTCCTGTGCATTAGAGCTTAAGTGTCAAGAGGGATTTGGAGAAAGAGGAAGGAGATGACAAAAGATCTGCTGTCCCTTTCTAACCTCTTCCTCCACCGTTTGGCTTAGTAGGACTCTGGCGTCTGCTTAGGTCAGCGTGAAGAGGAAGAGGAAGTGCAATGGTTTATTCCAGATCATTTGTAGGATTGTGGCTGAAGGGAGACAAAAGGAAACGACTGAACCAGGCCGCTTCTTAAATACCTCTCCCTTCTCCTTCCTTCAAGTCAAAATTTAGATCAAGAATAGGGATGTCCTGGACTGAAATAGAAGGTTACTGAGGATAAAGCTTTACCTGCAGCCAGTCATCAGCTAGGTTCCTCTAGATTCTAGACAGTGTTTCTCAAACTTAGAAATATTAAAATGGGTGGACCAATTCCCAGAATTTCCCAGCCAAAAGAGTTGAAGTCTACACATTTTATTATTTCAGGTTTGAGAAACACTACAGTAGTGGACAAATAGTGGAAACGTGTCTTTTGTAAAACTAGCTAATTACACCACTTTTTTGGGGAGCAGTACCATAAAATTATATATCAATAGAAAGATAATTTAATCAAGAATGTAATGCAATAACTTTTATGAAGGATTTGCTATTAGAATAACAGTTACAGTATAAAGAAGAAAGGTGAAACACGTAGAAAAAAATGAGATATACAAAAATTATCACCATAGAAAGAATGAGATATACAAAAGTGATCACCATGTCAGTTAATACTTTGTTGGATAACCTTTAGCATGAATCACGGCCTTACGACGTCTTCCCATGGAGTGAACCAAGTCTTTTAGTTCTGCAGCTGTTATAATGTGAAACCAAGATTGAATGGGTTTAACTGGTTTATTAACTGGGTTTTATTGCAAGGTAGCTCCTGACTAACAAGTTTCTTTAGTTGGCTCCATAGATTTTCAATTGGGTTAGGGTCTGGGCTATTCCCAGGCCATTCCAACAGTGGAATATGATTGATCTTGAAACTCCCCCCAAAAAGTGGTGTTATTAGCCATCAAACCTCAAAAATACACTTTTCCCAAAAGGTTTCCACAATTTTGGCCACTACTGTACTCTAAGGAGCTTTCCCTTCTCTAGTTCATCTCCAGTACCTGATATGCAAAAGTATACCGAATCTATAGGAAATTTTAATTTGTTTTTCCAACTGAAAGTTACTCCTAAAATATCTAATTTAACCCCCTTACAAAGTTCCTAATTTGATTTTTTTAATCGAGTTTTGGAAGAGGGCCACAACTGGGACATAAATATAGTGTGAGGTGCAGAGAAGATGCCATCAGCATTCTCTTCTAACATACGTAGATCATGTACGGTAAAACATGTTGATTTTAGACATAGACTCGGGAACCTTAACTACAGAATGGAATAGTGATGTATTGAGTTTAGTGCATCACAGTGCAAATAATTTTTAATAATGTTGACAGTGTAAGCCAATAAAACAAATTATTTCCAAATGCATACCTTGCAGAACATACAATTATTTTGTAATATTTATTGTATAAATATTTTGGCATACTTAGATGATACAGTGGATATCCACAACCAAAGTGAATTGGGGTCAATAATTCTTTTATAGCTTTTTAAGCTGGTTTTTTTTTTTTTTTTTTTTTTTGCCATGTACTGAACTGATAAATACCTCCATGGGCCCTGAAGAAAGACTGCCAGTTTTTGGTCTGACGAAGATTCATCCCAAATAATTAATCTTTTCCCTCTCCTGCCTGCTGAGATAAGCTTACTGATCTCACATAGCTATTTTTCTCTTTTCAGAGAAGTGCCAAAGGATCAAGGTTTAAGAAATTAATTTGCCTTCCTGCATTTAAGACTCTTACTTCTTCCCTTTCATTCTGCAATCTCTGCATATACGTTGAGGCACAGTAGAATTTTTGGAACAGAGAATTTGAATTATTCCTTTCTATCTTACAGGTTTCTCACCGAATGTATCCTCAACTTACATACTCTTTAAGTTTCCTTTGCCGTACTTGGCAACATATAATTTTAGAGGCTCTTCCGCCTCCCATAAAAAAACCCACATTCTGTTCTTGTGAGATTTCTTGCCAAGAGTTCATTTTGGAAGCATGTTCCATTAGCAAAGAAGCTAAGACATCTTATTTGAGTTTAACTCCTGGATGACTGCTTTTTTAGCTAAATTGTAGAAATGGGTTGCCACTGTTTTCCAGCTGGCCAGTGCAGCCAACAACCCTGGAATTCCTAGATAATGTGATCCCAAATAATAACCAAGGCCGGTCCCACTTAACTTCTGAAATAGGAGCTAAATTACAACACAACTGGGTGTCAAGTTGCTGTCAACTTAGCCACCACATATAGATGTTCTCCAGGATGTGAATGAACAAAATAAATAATTTGATATTTCCATAATGTCTTCTGAACTTCCTGCTTGATGTGGAAAAGAATGAAACTCCGACTTTAGGTTTTACCGATTAGACTAGAGGTCTTCAAACTATGCTGGCTGGAGAATTCTGGGAGTTGAAGTCCACAAGTCTTAAAGCTGCCAAGTTTGAAGACCTCTGGATTAGACTGGCAGATCTTTATAGAAATGACTTGTTTATATAAGTCAAAGCAAAAAGTTGTGATTTGATCATGTTAATGCCTTATTTTACTGTTACGGAGAGTTGGAAGTCAATGCTTCTTTTTCTTTTTCATATCTTTCTTCACTTTTCTTTCCCCCTCCCCCCACTGCTTTTCTATTTACTTTTGTATTTTATAATACTTTATAATAAAAATGTTAAACGTGAAAAAAGAAAGAAACTGAAATCCGGGAAGGGGGGGAATATTGGTGCAGCTGGGTGCAGCTGCCGCCACATGGGTGCAGCTGCCGCCACTTTGCGGGACCCTAAACGAAACTCCAAGGTTGCCTTGCGGTGCAGCAGGTTGCATTCCGGCAATAATAGAATAGAATAGAATTATTGGCCAGGTGTGATTGGACACACAAGGAATTTGTCTTTGGTGTAGATGCTCTCAGGGTACATAAGGAGAATAAAATACATTCTTCAAGAATAAAAAGATACAAGACTTAGTGATAGTCAAGGTTACTCATAAGCTATCAAATCGAACTAGGAAACAAGTAAAAACAATATAAATTGAAAGATACGTGGTTATAGTCATAAGTGGGAAGAGATAGATACTAGTAAGGAAGAGAAGAAGAATAGGAATAGTCTTAGTAAATTATTTGACAGTATTGTGGGAATTAGTTGTTTGGCAGAGTGATGGCATTCGGGAGGAAAAAACTGTCCTTGTGTCTAGTTGTTCTGGTGTGCAATGCCCTATAACCATGATGGCGAACCTATGGCATGTGTGTTACAGGTGGCACGTGGAGCCATATCGGTGGGTACGTGAGCATTGCCCTAGCTCAGCTCTGGATGGCCTCTGGGGAGGTGGGGAAGGCCGTTTTCGTCCTCCCCAGGGTCCAAGAAAGCCTCTGGAGCCTGGGGAGGGTGAAAAAACGGCCTACCGGGCCCACCGTGCCATCACATGCCAAAAGCGAGGGGAGTGTGGGATGCACTGAGTTATGGGTGTGGGCACGCCCGCACGTGACCCCCCCCCCCCACGGTCCCCACACGTTTGGCACGCGACAGCAAAAAAGGTTAGCCATCACTGCCCTATAACGTCATTTTGGGTGCAGAAGTTGAAACAACTTATGTCCAGGATGCGAGGGGTCTGTAGATATTTTCACAGCCCCCTTTTTGACTCGTGCAGTATACAGGTCCTCCATGGAAGGCAGGTTGGTAGCCATGGGTTTTTTCTGCAGTTCTAATTATCCGTTGAAGCCTGTGTCCGTCTTTGTTGGGTTGCAGAGCCAAACCCGGGTATCCAAAGGGGGCATCCCGAATCTAGCCACCCAGCAGCCCCGACTGAACCCAATCCCGGGTGAAGCCCAGTGCGCGACTCTTAAGACCCACGGGCGGCTCGGGGGGGGGGGGGACCTCTGGGCTGTTCAAGGAAGGCGGGCGTTGCTTTGCAGAGGATCGCCCCAGGAGCGAAGGGGGTGAAAGGGCAGCGACTGCGGGAACCGCTGAAGGGCGGAGGGGTGGGAGGAGGTCCCCGGCTGGCAGGGCTGGGCGAGAACCTGCCCCCCGGAATCCCTCGCGCAGCTCTGGATACGCGTTGGGCGTGGAGAGGAGGCGTCGCGCCCTCGTCGGAGAAGCCGAGGGGGAAGTTGGCCAGCGGCTCGGTTTCTTCGGAGGGCCAGGGATGGCTAGGCCGCCTTCCCGCTCGGGTCTTCGCGTCGCGGAAGGAAGGAAAGCGGGCTCCAGCGGTTAGTCCTGGCGCCGGGGAGCAGGTGGGTGAAGGTGCCCGGGGAGCCTCGGGGCGCGCCGGTCCCAGGTTTCCTTTACGCGCCGCGCCTTGCTCGGCTCGGATTTCCCTGGTTCCGGGAAGCTTTTTTTCCCCTCTTTTTTTTTTTTTTTTGAGTTGAAAGTTTTATCTAATCAAAAGATCAATTAAGAAGAATAGAAAAGGAAAGCAGAAAGAGGGAGAAGGGGGGAAAAAAGAAACGGAAGCGGCTTCCGATCTTTGAAGTTGCAAACTTTTTAAAACTTTCCTTCCCCCTTTTAGAATGATATTCTATATTGTTCCCTTCGCATATTGAACCTTTTGAACCGAGAGATCGAGAGAGGGTTCATGTTTGTCCCATTTTCAGCCAAAAGGTCCAAACTTTTCAATCTTTTATTGGGGAGAAAAAAGTACTAAAAAGTTTTCCATTTTTTTATTGGGGGAAAAAAAATACTAAAATGTTTTCAATCTTTTATTGGGGAAAACAAACAAACAAACACCACTTACTGTTTGGTCCCTAAATCGAACCAAGTGGATTTAAGCCATTTCTGCAAGTTCTTCCGTTTTCAGCCTCCCCCTCCTCCATTTTCTCTTGAATGCGAGAAAAGCAGCTTTTGAAATATGTTTTTGGGTGTCTCTGCCTCTCTTTACAGCAGGGGTCTCCAACCTTGGCAACTTTACGACTTGTGGACTTCAACTCCCAGAATTCCTCAGCCAGCGCACATGCGCTGGCTGAGGAATTCTGGGAGTTGCAGTTCACAAGTCGTAAAGTTGCCAAGGTTGGAGACCCCTGCTTTACAGTATATATCAGGGGTCTGCAACCTTAAATACTCAAAGAGCCATCTGGACCCGTTTCCCACCGAAAAGAAAACACCGGGAGTCACAAAACCTGGCTTGGCGTGGCCAACTCGATGGCACTCACTTCCACTGGTCACATGACCCCCCATAGCCATGCCTACCCAGCCAGTCATTAGGGCAGAGAACCAGTTGTTAAAAAACACCGGGAACCACAAAATCCTTTTGACATCTCTCTCTCCCCCCTCCCTCCTTCTCTCCCCTCCCTCTCTTCCCCCTCTCTCTGTATCTGTCTCTGCCCTGGCCACTTCTCCATCCTCTGCCGTCGCCCTTACCTTCTCAGGCCAGGCGAGGAGTGACTGGGACGGGAGGGCGAGGGGCGGGGCCAGCCAGTGCTGGGATCACCCAACAGGGAGCCACAGCAGAAGGCCCAAAGAGCCACATGCGGCTTCCGAGCCATAGGTTGCTGCCCCTTGGTATATATATTTGCTTCTGAATGGCTTCTGTTAACTCTTGGGAATCTGGCCAATGTGATAATCCTGTTTTGCTCTTTCCTGTTCAAATTCAAAGTAGATGAAAAGACCCAGGGGCAAAGAGTAGAGCTGAGCTGAGTTGGGTTCCTTTGTGATGTGTGACCAGCACAGCCCTGGCAGTCTCCTCCAGATGTGGATAATTCACAGCTGAGGCTTGCTGATGGATATGGCAGGTAAGGATGTGTCGGTGTGCCTGTGCGTTCAATGTTCTTCCCACACTTCTTCACCCTAACTCCTCCTTTCACATACTCCATTGCAGGAATGTGTGAAAGCAGCCATGGTTTTTGTTCCACTAAAAGAAACTAAAAGGGACGCGGTGGGTCAGTAGCTAAGACACTAAGCTTGTCGTTCGAAAGGTCGGCAGTTCAGCGGTTCGAATCACTAGTGCCACGTAATGGGGTGAGCTCCCGTTCCTTGTCCCAGCTTCTGCCAACCTAGAAGTTCGAAAGCACGTAAAAAATGCAAGTAGAAAAATAGGCACCACCTTTGGTGGGAAGGTAACAGCGTTCCCTGCGCCTTTGGCATTTAGTCATGCCGGCCACACTGTCTTCGGACAGTGCTGGCTCTTCGGCTTTGAAATAGAGATGAGCCCCCTAGAGTCGGGAACGACTACCTAAAAGAAACCTGATCAATGTTCTGCTACTGACCAAATTTCAAGATGTCTTGGGCTGCAACTTAACAATGTTCGGCCACTGACTCTTTTGTGGAAGAGTGGAATTTGTTTTGGCATCTTGATTTGTCTAGAAGATACCAGAGTGAACTAGCTGAGCAATTATTGAGCAATATATAAACTTAAAAATGATGGCTGTGATCATGAAAGGAGCAGAAGGAAGGTTCCGGAAAACAATACAAGCAGTCCTCAACTTACAACCACAGTTCAGCCCAACATTCCTGTTGCAAAGTGAGACATTTGGTAAATGAGTTTTGCCCCATTTTATGATCTTTTTTGCCACAGTTGTTAAGTTAATCAGTATAGTTGTTAAGTTAGTGACATGGTTGTTAAGTGAATCTGGCTTCCCCATTGACTTTGTTTGTCAGATGGTGGCCAAAAAGGGGACCACGTGACCCCAGGACACTGCAACCGTCATAAATATGAGTCAGTTGCCAAGCGCCTGAATTTTGATCATGTGACCATGGGGATGCTGCAACAGTCATAAATGTGAAAAATGGTCATAAGTCCCTTTTTCAGTGCCGTTGTAACTTTGAGTGGTCACTAAATGAAGTTGAGAACTGTTGTAAGTTGAGAACTACCTGCATTGAGAGACCAACCATGTCAGTCTGCTGTATTTTTGAAATTTTAGCTTTTGCATGGAGAAGTGGAAATACGCTAAATTGCAACAAAGGGAACTTGGTGCAAATAGACACCTGATAATTAACCAAAGGCATAGGTTTCTGATTGGACCCTGTTCCGAAGAATCACAATTGTCGAATGATTGTAAGTCGAGGTCTACCTGTACGGTAGAGATTCTTTCATAACTTTCAATGATATCTTATACTGTTTGTGTTACAGTAGTCAATTCATTGCTTAACCAGTGACTATTGATAAGAATAAAATATAAGTAGCTTTTCCCCCCTTTTCCTTCTTAGTTTGCCTTTTTAGCTTATCAGTTTAAAATTTTAATCAGCTTCTTTTTTAAGATGAAAGATCCTTTTGTTGCAAAAAAAAAGTTGTAAAAAAAATGATGGTACCTTTGGTTAAAGCAGGGTGTCAAACTCGATTTCATTGAGAGCCGCATCAGGGGTTGTGTTTGACCTCTGAGGGCCAGGGTGGGTATGGCTAACTCAACGTCACTTGTGCCAGGGGCGCCTGTGCTGGCCCTCACGTTCTGCCAGTGAAAACGGGTTCCTGAGCTCCATATCGCCTGCAACGGCCTCCTGCAACCCTCTGCCAGCGAAAACGGAGCTTCGGAGGGCTGCCTGTGGCCCTCGCGAGCTCCGTTTATGCTGGAAGAAGCACCACGGGCCGGTCCTTCGCTGTTTCCAGGCCAGTCCCTGGGCCAGATCTAAACACCCCATGGGCCAGATGCAGCCCCTGGGCCTTGAGTTTGACATCCCTGGGTTAAGGTTTCAGGAGCTGACTTCCTCAAAACCCACCTATTTCTGATTTGTGCAGGCTGGTTCAAGACGTTGCTGCAGAAACCCAGGAAGAGGCCAGACGCCTCAAATGGTTCTCCTGGGTGTTCTCCTTCCTCACCTTCCCCTCCCGTGCAGAAAAGTCCTAGTTCACTCCCTCGTAGCTTGACCAGCAGCCCCAAACTGGGATACTCCATCGCCCGGATTGTAAGCCATTCTGATAGTGCCCGATGGAGCAAGTTATACGACGTCTGCATTTGCCACAGCGAGGGGGACCTTGAGTTTGTGGAAGAGCTGGTGGCCTACCTGGAGAAGCAGCCCGAACGTTTCCGTTGCTTTCTTCAGCTGCGGGACTCTATTCCAGGTGGGGCTGTTGTGACGGAGCTGTGCAACGCTGTCCAGAACAGCCACTGTTGGGTGCTGTTGATCACACCCAACTTCCTTAAGGATCCTTGGTGTTGCTACCAGATGCACCACGCCTTGACCGAGGCGCCCATGGCGAACGGGCGTACCATCCCTGTGCTGAAGGATATAGACCGCACCGACTACCCCAGGGAACTCCGATGTATTTACTACATCAGCGTGGTGCTCCAAGAGAGCAGTTTCCGACAGATCAAAGAGACGATACTGCGTTGTAAGTGATAAACTAGATTGTGGGGTGTCTTTAGAACAGGGGTGGGCAATTCATTTTTCCAAGAGGCCACATGAGAACCTGTGAAGGTGTGTAGGTATGCGTGGAAATTGAAAAAAAGTAGCAATCACCTTCAAGATACAGGTGCTCCTCGGCTTACAACTCTGCCTGAATCAGCAAGCAAGCTCGGAGCGTGTACTGGGATAGTTTGACCTGTTTGGGAGAAACCTGAAAGTTAGAGAGATGCTGCCAGTCACCAAGGGAGTGGGAAGATGGGTTCCAATGGTGAAATCCTCCGAGGTTTGCAACCGGTTTGCTGCGTGCGCATGCACAATGCGCACTAAATGCACGCTGTGTGTGCATGCGCACCACAGGTACTACCGCACAGCGTGGAAAAAGGAGGCTTAAGAAGGTAAGTAGAACAGTGAGGGGGGGGGGAACAGCTGTGCCACGCGAATTAGATTTGCTAGAAAGCAGGATTTCCTGCTTTCTAGCAAATATAAATTGCGCGGCACAGTTGATCATCGGAAATATTGGTTCAGACAAACCGGTAGCATTTTTTTATTACCGATTTGCCCGAGCCAGTAGCTTTTATTACTACCGGTTCACTCGAACTGGTGCGATCCAGCTGAATACCACCACTGATGGGTTCACATCTTGCATAAAAACAAGATTGGTTTTGGCTGAGCAAATTGTGCAAACTCAGTTGTAGAATAGAATAGAATTTTATTGGCCACGTGTGACTGCACACACAAGGAATTTGTCTTGGTGCATACACTCTCAATGTACATAAAAAGAAAAGATACGTTCTTCAAGAATCATAAGGTACAACACTTCCCTATAGTCATAGGGAACAAATAAGCAATCAGGAAACAATCAATATCAATATCAATCGTAAGGATACAAGCAACAAAATTACAGTCATACAGTCATAAGTGGGAGGAGATGGGTGATAGGAATGATGAGAAGATTAATAGTAGTGCAGACTTAGTAAATAGTTTGACAGTGTTGAGGGAATTATTTGTTTAGCAGAGTAATTTATTAAATAAAATAGCAGCCGAAGGAACCATGGCTTATGATTAGTGAGCCTCTTCATTGGATTCAAATTCTCCTGATGGCTTTCTTTGTTCCTTTAGATCTCCTGGACTTTTGTCAAAACGCAAGAAGCAAAGACTAACTGCACTTTTGGATGAAAAAAAAAAAGATTCTTGGTTACAGGAAGGTCAAAGGAAAGTCTTTCGGTATACGGGACTTGGAGAAGAAGCCTTTATGGTGAAGGTATCTTCTCTCACTGCGGTTGACTTGATTTGAAGGCAGATTCCATTTGATGCTGAGATTTCACTCTCCACATTTGACCGATTAGCTTTATTTTGGAGTTGAGTTTATGCTTTAATCATCCCGTTTGCCCTTGGAAATAGACCTGGTCAAGAAACAAGCACGGCAGGGATTTCAGGAATGCAACTATTATGGAAGACAGCTAAAATCCTTCCAAAATGCCCCCTTTTAAGGTCACAACAAGATTAAGGTCAAGGCAGGACTGTTTTTGAGTTTCGTAATTTTTACTTTCCCAGAACTGAGGAACCGTTTCACAGAGCTAAATTCCATCGTTATACTTAATGATTCTGATGAGATTTGGTGGACAGTAGAACACTAATTTGTAACAAGAAGATGCAAGTGGTTGTGTTCATAGATCAGCCAGTCATGTCCCATTTCCTTTCCTTCCCATCTAGTTTGGCGTTTCTCTGCAGTCCTAACAGTTGGTCAGTTCGCTGCGGCTTTGTTCTTTTAGTCACATTCAGCTGGTTTCCAGTTTTCTTCCACCTATAAAGTCTCCCTATTCCCCCCCCCGCCTTTTTTTTGTATTGGTTTCCTCCAAATCTGCTACTAGCTTCTTGATAGTCCTCAATTTACAGCTATTTGTTTAACGACTGTTCAAAGTTACAAGTGCACAACTGAAAAAGGGACTTATGACCAGTCCTTGCACTTATGACCATTGTAGCATCTTCATGGTCATGCTTTTATGGTCACATAAGCAAAATTCGGATGCTTGGCAACTGGCATGCATTTACAAGGATTGTAGCATCCTAAGATCATGTGATTGCCATTTGTGACCTTCCCAGCAGGCTACCAAACAAGCAAAGTCAGTTGGGGGAGGGGAAGGGAAGCTGCATTCGCTTAATGACTGTATGATTCAGTTAACAACTGCAGTGATTTGCTTAACCCTGGCCCCCCAAAAAAAGGTCATAAAATTGGCCGTGACTTGCTTAATAACCACCAAGCTTAGCAATCCAAATTGTGGTTGTATAAAGTTCTTCCTGAACATCAGGCACAGTGAATTCTAGACCTGTGAGCATCATTGTATTGAGTGGTTGAAGGCTACAAAGAAGGTTTCTGCAACATCTGGGACTTTATACATAGGTGTCCGAATTATATCCAAATACAGGTAATCCTCGATTTATAACAGTTCATTTAGGGACCATTCAAAGTTATATCATCACTGAAAAAAGGGAGTTACAACTATTTTTCACACGACCATAGCAGCATCCCCATCGTCACATGACCAAAGTACAGAGTACCAGTTGGCAACTGGTACGTATTTATGACAGTTGCAGTATCCTGGGGTCATGTGATCGCCTTTTTGGCTTTCTGACAAGCAAAGTCAACGGGGAAACCAGATTCACTTAAGAACTGTGTTACTGATTGAACAGCTGCAGTGATTCACTTAACAACTGTGGCAAGATAGGTTGTAAAATGGGGCAAAATTCAGTTAACAAATGTCTCGCTTAGCAATATAAATTTTGAGCTCAACTGTGGTCGTAAATTGAGGACTTCCTGTATTATAGCTTTAATAAAATGGCAGTATTAACCATGTTTTTTAAAAAAACAAACAGCATAATACTCCCTTGAGTTTGTAGCCATGGTTGGCTTTACATTTCTTGGCAGTACACAATTATTAATTTGAGAGAATTCAGATCCCACCCAGTAAGCTGCCTGAGGGTGACAAAGCTGCTGTGAGATTTTGTTTCCACATTTGTATGATTTACGGAAAATGTAGGTGGCTAAATTTGCATATTGTGCTAAACTGAAATCCTTGTTAGTTTTGGTTTAGAGGTATGAATCGGGCCTTTTTCTGGTTCTCTGCAAAGCCTGCTAACTGTAGCTTATTCAACAAAGATGAACTAACCTCTGATTTAAAAATCCAGACTATGTTTATACGGTGGGTGTTTAATTTAATCCTGGGTCATCCAGGGTTAGTATTGCCTTGAACTGTCACTGAAAATAAAATGTTAGCCAATGATCCTTCTGGGAATGGTTTGTGTAATTTGAAATAGAAGGAAATTCTGAGATTTCATTCTAAATTGCGGGTGCATTTCCCATGATGTAAATCTGAATGCTGAATTGCATTTGGAATGTAGTTGGGTTTACCTGCAATGTTTGGAATACTGGTTATGACTTAAAATGAATGGCCCATGCAACTTGGAATAAATTTGGTTTTTTGTATCAGAGGACAAATGGCCAGTAGAAAGCATATGATTATAAGATGAAAAGGGTCTTTGCTGCTTCAATAAATTTTGGAACTCCCTGCAAAGGGCGGCTAGATTCATTTTTTCTATCACCTTTTTATTTAGGTATCTCTCTTCGACAAATACACCATGTTTCTTTTTTTTTTTTAATTTTATTTTGATTAAAAAACAAAACAAAAACAGCAAACACAAATATGACAATACAATATACACAACAAATATACATATATCATGTCTTACGACTTGTATTTTAGATATTCACATCAGTAAACTATATTTCTCTCTATATATCTTTACACCTTTACATATATAACGACATCTTAAATTCCCTTTTTGATTTATTGTTTTCTTATTTGGTAAGAAAGTAATTTGGCTTAATTCCTGTCTTAACTATTTCCTTTCTTTTTTCATGTTCCTAGTTCTATTTTATTTTCTTTTTCTCCAGCCAGTCGTACCATCTTTGCCATACTAGGTAATATTCCCATACTAGGTAATATTTTTCCTGCATTTCTTTTGTAAGTTTATCCATCTCCGCGCACTCCATCACTTTTAAGATTATTTTATCTTCTGGTGGTGTATCTCCCAATTTCCAACTCTGAGCAAAAACGATTCTTGCTGCTGTTAAAATATGGGTAATTAGATATTGTATTTCTTTTTCATATTGGATTGTACATATTCCTAATAAATAGGTTTTTGGTTTCATTGATACTCTCTGACTCGAATACACCATGTTTCTTATAGACCTCCTTTTTAAATGCCTGTTATGTGTCCATGAACCAATGTAATATCCTTTTTTATAGACATATAGGTATATATTGAGTAAAGCATTTGGAACAGTTTTGAAAAATCTCCATATATAGAAGCTAGTGCATAGCCATGCTAATTTTTCATTATTTCTCTGCTTTGGGGCGTCATCTAGTACAGAGGTGCCTGCTGCAGGAACTTGAAGGAACCATGAAGTCGTAGTCCAAAACTATTGCGCGACTACTCTACATTTCCTGAGTCTATATTCAGTCTAAGATTTGCGAGTGTACGCAGGCGCTTGGATAGTTTCTCTAAACAGTTCCTAAGTAATAGGGTCCTCCGGCCGGTAGAGGGCGCCGCTGAAACGTTACTGGCGCGCGCTTGGCGCTGATCCAGATGCGCCTGCGCGCTAGCTTTATGCTACGGAGATGGCCGAGTCTCCCGCTCTGAAGAGAAAATGTGAGGAGAAAGAGGGAGAGAACGGGTCCGCCGCGTCCCAAAATGAAGGGCCGGCCCCCGGCAACTTCCCTTTGGCCGAGCTCTCTCTGATGAAAGTGCTGAGGGAATCTGCGCGGGAGAAGGCGATCTTCCTCCACGGGCGGGTAGGGGAATTATTGGTTCTCGGGTTTTGGAATTGTTAGGTGGCGGCCAATAAGAGAACAGGGGCGGGGCCTAGCCGGCGGTGTCTCACTCCCCGCCCCTTGAGAAGGGAACGTCACGATTTGCATATTTGCATGACGGGCGGAGAGCGTGTGACGTCATCGCACACCTGTCCTTCCTGCGTGTCGCTCCTGCTGCAAGGTGTGCCAGAACTACAGTTCCCATCACCCCCCCTCATTAACAGGCCGTGTAGTAGACGGGGAGGGGGTGATGGGATTTGCGGTCCAAAGCATCTCAAAGCCTCTCTTTAGGGCAGTGTTTCTCAACCTTGGAAGCTTGAAGATGGGTGGACTTCAACTCCCAGAATCCCCCAGCCAGCACTGCTGGCTGGGGGATTCTGGGAGTTGAAGTCCACCCATCTTCAAGCTACCAAGGTTGAGAAATACTGCTTTAGGGGAAAGGGATGGAAGGATTGGATTGCTTGCTCTGGCTGCAGAAAGATGGATTGGAGAAATGAGGATAATGAATGAAGACAGTTGAGAAGAGGGGGAAAGGAAGGGAAGGGACTAGTCTCTTCCATTGAGTGCAGAGGAGGAGTGTGTGGGGTGGGTTTGCACTTCTCCAATTTTGGGGGATTCCCCATTTGTTTGCTGAGGAGTGTGAAAGAAGCAGCAGGAGGTGTTTCTTCTCCCAAGTTGGGCTGATGTGGGAAGACTGCACAAAATAAAAATGTGCATAGACTTCAGAATAGACTCCTGGTGAACAGTTCCCATGAATGTCTGATCTTTGGGCTTTCTGCATATTGTTTTAATTTAATCAAAAATATACAAATAATTTATATATTTTATATTTTAATTGATTTGTCATATTCATAAGAATATATAATATGATATATATAAGATATGATATGATATGATATAATATAATATGCAATGCTATATAATATATACCCTGTTTCCCCCAAAATAAGACATCCCCTGATAATAAGCCCAATTGGGCTTTTGAGCACATAGCAATAAAGACAAGCGCTTATTTCAGGATTCAAAAAAATAAGACAGGGTCTTATTTTCAGGGAAACACAGTAATAATATATAATATATAATATATATGCACAACTCAGAAATATTAAAAGAGGCACAATGGAAGCATTGGAGCAATGTTTCAGCCGCAGTGGGGCTTTTTTTGGCAACCTGAGTCTACACTCATGGGTCTTAAACTTGGCAACTTCAAGAAACTTCAGCTTCCAGAATTCCCCATTCTGGCTTCCTTGGGAAACACTGCCAATGAGTAAAGATGGAAGAGATCGAGAGGTACCAGGCAAAGATGGGAAAGAACTTGGGCTAGTTATAGTAAAAGCTCCTTCAAGCTCATGTTCTGGTAATGATATGGACATGGTAGTTCCATTTTCTTGGCAACAATATAGAAATGCGTTACCATTACATTATTCCGGTGTTTTTCTAAGCGTTCCAATCTAGCATATACTCTGAAGAGATTTTTTGTGGTCTTCCATGCAAGCACTGGCCAGATCTGACACTGTTGAACTTTTTCAAGATCAGCCAAGGTCACTTAGAGGCTGCCATTTGCTGTAACGTGGAAAGAAAGAAAATATTTTGTACTCTAACCTCAGCTGATGGATTAGCATCAGGGATGGGTTCTACTTACCTTTACCACTGGTTCGCAACGGGATCACATGTGCATGCTTGCTTTGCTCGCGCGCGCGCCTTGCTTCTGCGCAGATCGCTGATGATGACATCCGGGGTGGTGGGCGGGGCTTCCCGCCAGTTTTACTATCGGTTCTTGCAAACTGGTCCGAATCGGGGGTAACCCACCAATGGTTAGCATCATTTATTTACCTATGTTTTCTTTCTTCGCTGCCCCCCCCCCCCTTCCAAGCTTTTGTGCTATTCAGATTCCAACTACAAAGCAGATTTTTTTTTTGACAAAATATATTCCAGAATATCCAGGCTATATATTGGGAAGAACCCACTGATAATGACCTGGGAATAAATTCTCTACTGTTTCTAAAGTTATTGTTCAATCCCTAGGACCGAGATGGCGAACCTATGGCACTCGTGCCACAGCTGTCACACAGCGCCCTCTCTGTGGGCATGTGAGCCATCGCCCCAGTTCAGCTCCGCCACGCATGCCCACACGCTCCCCACAGGCCAGCTGGTCATCGGGTGTCTGCCATGCACACGCGGGGAACGTGCGGGGCCCCCTCACACATATGCGTGGGGGCGGGACACATGCGCGGGGGCCATGGGCACATTGCATTTTTGGGTTCAGGCACGCGCATTTGCGCACACGCGGTTGCTTTAGGCACTCGGTCCGGAAAAGGTTAGCCATCGCTTCCCTAGGAGAATACATGGATTTATATCACACAGTAACCTATACAATCATTGTTTGTTGAATAAAGCTTAAGAAACTACAGTGGATTGTGTGCTGAGCCAAAAACAAATAAAATACTGTGGGTTTTAACAATGGAGATGTCCTAGAGGAGACCTAGTCTACAGGTTTGACAGTGAGGAATAAACAGGGAGTAGAGCAGTCATGCAGCTGAATGAAATTGTGTAGCCAAGTGCCCAGATTGCTATTATTTCACCTAACAAAAGCATTACCTACGTATCTCCAGATTTAGATTATTTTTCTTATTAGCATATCTATTGCTTTTGGCCAGGAGATCAGTTTTTCATTTTTAGTGTTTAAAGCGAAATTGAATTGCAAACTAGCAGTTAACTTGAATGCTGTAAATAAGATGGATGGACTTGTCACTCAGGGCCTATAAGAACCGGAAAATTGCAAGTACTCTGTTAATTCGCCATTTACAACTATATTGTGCTTCAAAGGCAGATTCTCCAGAGTGCAGGGGATACAGCTGGATTAATATTTTTATTGTCTTCTGTAAATCCCCCCGGAGATAACCAAGGCATGCAGTGAAGTGTCAGGAAATTGCTCGCATCTCTATCATTTTAAAAAAAGAGTCTAAATTCTAGAGGAGTGCTTTTTTTTTTTTTAAGGAAGGTGGATTAGATTCAAGGTCAAATTCAAAGTGCGGGTGAGTAAAACTATTAAAGGGAGGAAGGATCGATAAACTAGAGTTACAAAGCACCACCAAAAGCAGGTAATATGCTTCCTGGTGGAATAGCCAAGGTCAGATTTAGTACAGTAGATACAGATGAATTGTTCCACCATTCCTCATCCCAGTTCAGTGTATCACAAGGTTAATCATGGCATACATTTTTTCTACCCTAATCATCTTACCAGGCAACTGGCTATGATAAAGTATAGTAAATTCTTATTACTGCCTTGTGCAGATCCAAATCCTCCTCCTGTATCTGATTACCCTGAGTTTCTTCTCCACTCCTCTTAATATCTAAAGCTCCCTGATACCTGTAAGCTAGTATGTTTGATAAATGTTTAATTTACATATTTCATTACTTGTACATGGTTTGCCAATTTACATCTACACAGACCAGTGTGTTCACATTCAAGGTTTTAGGGTTTAGAACTTGACTGATGACTATCTCAACAGATGCTTGAGGTCTGCGTTCCATATGTGATTATCTGTGCCAATGTATCAAAATAAAAACGCTTTATATCATTCCTGGGTTTTGATCCCATTTTTTAAACTTGTGGCTTAAGGATCAACTATTCATGATCATGGATGGTAATGATTCAAAAAGTAAGAGATACTGGAATAAATTATAACCAGATCTCTCATTATACTTGTGATACTTTCTTCATACATGTACTATACATACATAAATATCTGCATATGCATACACACATACATATACATACACACATACATACATACATATTTGCAGCCAACTATTCAATGTGCTAATCAGAACTGGCTGCTGCAATATTTATTTATTTATTTATTTATTAAATTTATATACCGCCCTATTCCTGAGGGACTCAGGGCGGTGAACAGCGAACGATAAAAATACATGTAATACAAACGTTAAAAAAAAAACCAATTAAAATATACTAAACACTCTGATCCTAGATAATTCAAGACATCCCAGTTTAAAATAAAATCAAAAGCAATATAAAGGGAAAGTTAGGCTAGGGCGGCCTGCTGAAACAGGAATGTTTTGAGGGCACGGCGGAAAGTGCGCAGATCCGGAATCTTCTGTATCTCTGGGGGGAGCTTGTTCCAGATGGTGGGTGCCCTCACAGAAAAGGCTCTCCCCCTGGGGGCCGCCAGTCGACACTGTTTGGCTGACGGCACCCTGAGAAGCCCCTCTATGGGAGCGTACTGGGTGGTGAGAGGCTATTGGTGGCAGAAGGCGGTCTCGTAAGTACCCCGGTCCTAAGCCATGGAGCGCTCTAAAGGTGGTAACTAAGATCTTGAAGCGCACCCAGAAGACCACAGAGAGCCAGTGCAGCTCGCGCAGGAGGGGAGCCACATGGGAGCGCCATGCTGCTCCCATAACTACCCGTGCAGCCGCATTCTGGACCAGCTGGAGCCTCCGGGTGCTCCTCAAGGGGAGCCCCAAGTAGAGAGCATTACAGTAGTCCAGGCGTGAAGTGACGAGGGCATGAGTGACCGTATTTAACGAGTCCCGATCCAGAAAGGGACGCAACTGGCGAATCAGGCGAACCTGATAAAAAGACCTCCTGGCCACAGCCGTCAAGTGTTCTTCTAAAGACAGCCGTGAGTCCAAGAGGACGCCTAAATTGCGAACCCTCTCCGTGGGGGGCAATGACTCATCCCCAATAGTCAGTGATAGCACCAACTGACTATATCGGGACGTCGGAAACCACAGCCACTCGGTCTTGGATGGGTTGAGCCTGAGTCTGTTCCTCCCCATCCAGATCCGTACAGCCTCCAAGCACCGGGACATCACTTTAAGGGCATCATTGGGGTGGTCCGGGGTGGAGATGTATAGCTGAGTATCATCAGCATACTGATGATACTTCACCCCAAAACCACGGATGATCTCACCAAGCGGCTTCACATAAATGTTGAACAGAAGGGGTGAGAGAACCGACCCCTGTGGCACCCCACATACAAGGGGCCTCGCGGTCGACCTCTGCCCCCCTGTCAACAGACTGCGACCGATCAGAGAGAAAGGAGGAGAACCACCGCAACACGGTGCCCCCCACCCCTAACTCTTCCAACCGGTGCAGCATGATACCATGGTTGATGGTATCAAAAGCTGCTGAGAGGTCTAATAGGACCAGGACAGAGGAGCAACCCCTGTCCCGGGCCCTCCAGAGATCATCTACCAATGTGACCAATGCCGTTTCTGTGCTGTATCCAGGCCTGAAGGCCGACTGGAACGGATCTAGATAAGCCGATTCATCCAAGTACTGAGGGAGCTGTCGCGCTACCACACTCTCAATAACTTTCGCAACGAAGCAAAGGTTGGAGACTGGACGGTAATTAGCCAACACTGCTGGTTCCAGGGAAGGCTTCTTGAGGAGAGGCTTCACCACCGCCTCTTTCAAGGCGGCGGGGAAGGCACCCTCTCTCAAGGAAGCATTTATAATCCCCTGGAGCCAGCCTCGTGTAACCTCCCGAGAGGCCAGCACCAGTCAGGAGGGACACGGGTCCAATAAACATGTGGCCGCGCTCAGTCTGCCCAGTATCTTGTCCACGTTTTCCGGAGTCACAGAATCAAACTCTTCCCAGGTAATATTCTCAAGACTTGCCTCCATCCTCCCTCCCGAATCTACCCAGTCAGAGTCCAAATTTTCCCGAATCTGAGCGATTTTGTCATACAGATATTGTACAAAGTCCTCGGCTCTACCCTCCAAGGGGTCCTCCCGCGCTTCCTGGTGGAGCAGGGAGCAGGTCACCCTATATATATATCAAAATGGTCTTTGATTTTTTGCATCTTGCTTGTGTGCTTCCAAGCACATCTGTTGTTGGTTGCTGGCATCAGGGAATGACTTCGGTGTAGCAGAGAACTATTTATGTTCTTATTTCTTTAGGTGAATAGTACTTCTGGGGATAAGACAGATGCTGTTGTGATCCTTGAGAAGATTCCCTTCCAGGAAGAGAACATTACTGAACTCCTAAAGAAGCACACTGGACTTCAGCTCCAGATGTCCAATGACATCTATAGTACTTACCGCCTCTTCCTTCCTCCGGAATTAAATGGTGAGTGGCCATCAAAGGAAGCTTAGTTGTATCTGTGAGAAGCAGTCCCATATGTGACCCACCAGCCCCTTTTGGTGTCTTTCAGAACCTTTCTGTAATGGTTGTAGAAATGCTCTAATGATGGTCCATCATAACTTTGAATGGTCGCTAAGTGAGTGGTCATAAATCAAGGACTACCTGTAGACTGCAGTTGGGCCTGCAAAGTATGTTAAGCAATAAAGCATGCCAAAGAAACAACATAAGTTGTGTTTTCTACTTCTACATTCGCCATCCATTTCTCATTGTGGCTATAATCTACCTAAATTATAAATTATATGTCCTCAATGCACATTATGGCTTCAGCAAGTAATAGTCCCTTAGAGAAGTCAATGCTTCTTGTTTTGTGGTTCATCAAAGGATTGGATTGTACATTCTGCCGCTTGCAGTGTGAGGAGGTCAAGTAAGTTTCCTTAGATAGCATTCTTAAGTGTCTGTGTCATGCACCTTAAGACTTCATTGGGATTTTTATTTGTACCCCAGGGTTTGTATCTTGGAAGTCAGGGGAAACAGGCAGAGTCAGGGAAACAGGCAGGTAAGCAATAGCTGAGCCACAGCAGGTATGTGAGCATGGCAAGTGTCTCAAAAAGGCCCTTAATGTTGTGGCCTGCCAGCGGCCAGCGAAACTGGTAGCAGAGTCGGACAGTGAAGAGGTTGGGGAGGAACTTGGGCCAGTCCTGGGGGCTGGGGAAAGCTCGGACGAGGGCTCTGCTTCAGAGGCAGAGAGGGAGATAGACAGCAGCAAGGCAAAGGAACAGCTGGAGCCCATTCCCAGTGTGCAAATGCGCAGAGCTGCCAGAAGACAAGAACAATTAAGAAAGCAGGGTAGACTCGTGAGTAAGGCCACACCTTGCAGATGATTGGCCCCTCCCATAGGACAAAGGAGGAGCGAACGGGATGTGGGCTTTTGCAGGAAGCAATTAGTTCATCTCGTTTCAAGATTGGAAAGATCTGTTCGTGACTCTAATAGACTCTGTGCCAAGTTTGGCCTTGCTGTGCATATGGAATTTGGTTCTCTGGCAGCGTTCCAAGTGAGATAAGGTGGGAGTTGATAAACATTCCACTGAAAAACTGTTTGCCAAAGCCTTCTTGACTGTGAATGAACAGTCGTGTTAATAAAAGAGGTTTTACCAGGATTAAGACTTTTGCTTCATGCTTTCTAAGGAAGCCTAGGTCAGAACACTTCCCTAGTTTCTTGTACTGTAAGGGCAACAGGGGAGAAATGTAGTTTCAGAGTTGCATGATTCAAATTCAAATCCAGAGTCAAGGGATGCTTTCCACTCAACTGTGGTGAGAATTATACCCTTACCAAATCATATCTCCCTTGTATCTCAGCACATTCTGCTCTGGTGTCTTCCAGCATATCTCAAATTTCTCTGTCCTGCTAGAGTTTGCCATGTCTGCAACAGAGTTCATCTCCAAGATACCAAATAGGATTTGTCACCCTATCAATTTTTTAAAATTTGTATAGAGCATGCAAGGTAAAATTCTGTGTCGTAGGTTGAGGGCCTTCTAGGTTTTCAAGGTTTTTCCTTCCAGGATGGAATCATTCAAAGAGGCAACCTTGCTTTGTCTTATCTAAGTCTTTTAGATGCCTTAATGTTTAAAAAAGTGGGGGAAGCTTTTCTATGTCATGGTCGTTGTCTTGAGTTAAGTTTCCTGTCTTTGTGGCCTTGTGAATCCTAAATCATGGCAAGAACAAAATACAGATTTTCTATGCCGTTTTTAAATCATCAGAAGAAAAGGGTGGCACTTACCTGCTCTCCCCAGGAGCTCACAATGTAGGAGAATATTTGCACTAGCACTTGTGATCTTGCTTTTTCTTGAAGGGAGCCACAAGGTGGCTCTCTTGGATAACTTTGAACTTCGAAAAGTAACTGTATTATGTTGCATCTAAATGGCAAACAGGTGTTATGTTATTCCCCTTGCCATGTGTTTTACTCTAAATCCTGAGTATCAGTCCGATTCAGATTCTAAGGGGCAATCTCTATTTGTTCAAAACCTAAATCATTAATGTAAAAAAAAAATATCTACAGAATCAGTAGACGAAGATAAAAATCTAAAGTACAAATTCAGTTGGTCGCTTGGTTCAGATGTCCTAGGGTGAACTAAATATAGGTAGCCCTTGATGTTATGACCATAATGGAGCTGATCATAGGGTTATGATGGTTGTAAAATGGGGTTGACCATGTGACAGACCCAGTTTTACGACCTATTTTGCAGTGATTGTCAAGTGAATGCGGTAGTCGTAAAGCAGCCGTCCAGTTGTTAAGCGAACACCAGAGTTGGAAAACCAGAAGTAACTGCTGTTGGGTTGTTGGTTTTTTGGCAAAACTGTTCTATAATGCAGTCGCACGACCACTGGACACTGCATACAACCATAAATACAGCCTGGTTGCCAAGTGCCCCAAGTTCAGTCATGTGACTGCAGGGGATCTGACTGTTGGTATGTCACATCCAAGTCGTAAGTAAGGCCATCTTAATTTTGAATGGTCACAGAGTGAGTGGTCATAAATCAAGGACTGCCCATAGATTGCAGTTGGGCCTGCAAAGTATGTTAAGCAATAAAGCACACCAAAGAAACATCATAAGTTGGGCTTGTTATTTATAACATTCGCCATCCGTTTCTCATTGTGGCTGCAATCCTAAACAATGCATATTATGGCTTCAGCAAGTAATAGTGAAGTCCACAGATCTTGTTTTGTGGTTCCTTAAAAGGTTGGATTGTACATCTCGGCCTCCTGCCTGTGGCAGTGTGAGGAGGCCGAGTAAGTTTCCTTGGATAGCATCCTTAAATGTCTGTGTCCTGCACCTTAAGACTTCATTGGGAATTATGAATTTTTACTTATTTATTTGTATCTTGTCTTTTTAAAATGATTTTTACAAATAACTCAAGGCAGTGAATGCATCCAACACATTTGATTTTAAATTTGTGGGTTTTATAATTGAGCCAATTATTTAATAATTTTAATTATTTTTAAATTTTGTTTGTCTTTGTGCTTTTAATCAGGCTGTACACTGCCCTGAGTCCTTCGGGAGAAGGGCGGTATAGAAATAAAATAATAATAATAATAATAATAATAATAATAATAATAATAATAATAATAATAATAAGTAGTAGTAGTAGTAGTAGTAGTATTAGTATTAGTATTAGTATTAGTATTAGTATTAGTATTGTTATTATTATTATTTCCCCACAACAACAACAACCCTATAAGGTGGGTTAGCCTGAGAGTGACTAGCCCAAAGTCACACCAACTGGCTTTCATGTCTAAGGTGGGACTTGAACTCACAGTCTCCCATTTTCTAGCCTGATGCCTTAGCCACTAGATGAAAGTGCTTCTGATGATAATATAGAGAGATGGTTGTAAATGAAGCTCCAGGTATTTTCCAAAACACCAGACAAGGCAAGCAAGACAAGAAGCAATGGTGGGAAACTAGCAGAAGAGAGACACACCCTAGAATTAAGGAGACATTTCCTGACAGTGAGAAACCAGTGGAACAGCTTGCCTCCAGAAGTTTGGGTTGCTCCATCATTGGAGACTTTTAAAAAGAGACTGGACAGTCATTTGTCTGAAATGGTATAGGGCAGGAGTCAGCAACCTGCGGCTCTGGAGCCGCATTTGGCTCTTTCACCCCTCTGCTGCAGCTCCCTGTTACTCAAAATATGTGTCACAACCGCCAATATGCGATACCCGCCGGCACAGGATTTATTGAGTTTTTCAACCCCAGGTAGGCCAACCATGGATAAATCCAAGAAAAGAAAAGTTTCAGAAGAAAACAGAACATTTAATTCAACTACATATGCTAGTTTTGTCGCCGTTCAAGAAATAGTCAGGCACGGGAAGGGTTTTGTGGCTCCTGGTGTTTTCTTTTCTGTGAGAAACGGGTCCAAATGGCTCTTTGAGTGTTTAAGGTTGGGATAGGGTCTCTTGCTTGAGCAGGGGGTTGGACTAGAAGGCCTTCAATGTCCCTTCCAACTCTGTTATTCTGTTAAAATCAACCACAGAATATCAATCATCAACCTGTCTGCAGAGGGCGATGAGCAGAGGGTTTTAAATTTCATCTGTATGGTGAGTAAAATAGGATGCTGTTGGCTCCACTTAATAGATTGTTAATCTGATCCAGCAGAGACCAGATTTTTTGCCCAGATCTGGGATTACCACAACACAGCCAAGCTGGAAAAAAATAGCAAACAATATACTTGGAGCAGGCCCCTGATGTTTTTCTCTTTTTTTTTGTTTCTTTTGTTGCTTTGAAGTAGAGACATTACAAACCAGGAAGATGAAAGTTTGTGTTTTTCAGACACTAAATGAGAAGTTTTGTTTGGAGCCATTGACCCATGACTTCAATGCCTGCTTCCTTTTTCAGCACAACACCCCAGCAATCAGTCCAGGGGGATCAGAAGGACCCAAAGCATATAATTAGCCTTCCAGTCTCTAACCATTCCCACACGCCCCTCCTCGGCTGCTAAAACATGAGGAGAGTGATGGCACCGAGGGTTTAGTCTGTGCATTTGTGTATGTATAAATGCATGCACTTCTAAATTAAGAGGATGAGGAGAACGGATGGTCCTGAGGGCACGTTCTTGAAGGTGTGTTGTGTGTGAATTGAAGAAGGTGGCTATAAGCATTTTAATAGGGGAATGTGGATATGCAGGTAGTCCTCAACTTACAGCAATTCATTTAGTGACCATTCAAAGTTATAATGGCACTGAAAATGACTTATGACCATTTTTCACACTTTTCAGCATCCCCATAGTCACGTGATCAAAATTTGGGTGCTTGGTAACTGACTCATATTTAATGACGGTTCCAGTGTCCCAGGGCCATGAAATCAACTTTTGCGAACTTCTTATAAGCAAAGACAATGGGGAAGCCAGATTCTCTTAACAGCTGTGTCACTAGCTTAACCACTGCAGCAATTCACTTAATATCTGTGGCAAGAAAGGTCGTAAAATGGGA